CTCATACCAACTGAACACCGTCGCCCCTAATGTTTCTTTAAAGAGCTTTGGCCTCTTCCAGACACAGCTCCTTTGACACATGAGCTATCTTAAACATAAGAAACAAATCTTTAAATGTGGCTATGTCCCACAAGCCTTTTTAAAACCTGCTGGTAATCAAACCCCTTCTGAATGAAACAAAATTTGGAAAATCTTAGGAGCCAAACAGCTTTGCTTCCTCCGTCAGGAAAAATAAATATGTTTGAATCCTTCAATTGGGATTCAGAGCTCATCATAGCACTGAAACGTAACTAGTCATAGTAAAAAAATGACATTACTACTAGCTGCTAATAGTGGACAAGTGTCAGTGTTGTCCTACTGGACCCCAGTGCTCCATTTAACACATTAGACACAGAATTTTACTGCGGAGGTCGATAGTGATATAGGTTCTCAGGGAGGAACAGCCCTTGGCTGGTTTAACCTATCTATCGGTCGGTATCACTTTTGTCAATTTGAATCACAAATTCATCGCCTTATTCTGGTGTGGAATTCTCGATTGTGCACATACTGCATGGCTTATATACGCAAGCAACTAAAACAGCTTTTTCCACTTGCGGAACATCGCTAAAATCAAGAATATCCTTCTAAAAGTGACAAGGAAATCCTTCTTCTTTTAGTATACCAAAGCCATGAATGGCCTGGCTCGTCTTATCTTCAAGACACGTTAGTGCTATATCAACCTAAACCGAGCACTGTGCTCACATAAACGCCAGACGTGTGTTGGTTACTAGGTCTCAAAAGTATGTCAGAAGCAGATGCATTTAGCTACCAAGCCCCTTTACTGTGGAATAAGGAAGCAGATACGGTCTCCACATTCAAGGCCAGACTTAAACACTCTTTGCCTCTTTAGCAACAATTTTGCCTATGGTTAGGTTGTCTTGTTGTTTGGTTTACACACGTGGTGTGTAATCCATCAAATATTTGGTGCTGTTAGCCTGGGCTAGCCTTGCCGCGGCTGCTGCTGTTTTCCTTGTTCGGGACTCGGTCTCCACATTCAAGGTAGGCTTAACACAGTGTCTTTTGTTTAGCATATGGATAGGAAGGTAAGGCTCAGGTAGGCTAGACATCTTTGACTGGTCAGTCAAGCTGCGTAGGGAGTAAGTCTGCTGGGAAAAGTATGGTATTTTAGGCACTATCTCTACTTCCTCCTACTTTAAAAATCTGCATTATAGGATTTGCGTTTTCTGTGGCTTTACAGTAGGTCCCACTTTCGTTTTGTATCCTTGCACGCAGTGAATCACACGATGACTCACGTGTGATTCACGAGTCTTTTAATTTATTTTTTCCCCAGTGATGCTGCAATGACCCGAAAAACCAAGTGGGCACTTGTGGAGGCAGGGGTTAGGAAAATTGGCTTCTATCGGTTCTTTGTTCTCTGTTCACGGACAACTTTCTGTTGGCCTTTATAGTCAATGATAAAGAGGTGGACTATGGTTCTCGCTGTCGAGAGGTCTCGGGTTCATGTACAGTCTACGGACACTTTTGATTTTGTTGACGGTTTAAATTTTTTTCTAAAACAGACTTAGTAATTTGGCCCAACACATTAAAATAGTTGCTAGATGTAGTAAACTGTTAGTAAACGTCACAATCTGCACCACCAAACTGCAGGAAAAAAATGATACTTTATTCAGTTACAGAGAAATCTGATTCATGATTAATCCCCCCGTATAAAAATTTGTGGATTTGGGCGGGGCCGAAACCCTGATCTTCCAAGGGAAAAGGACTTGGTCAATCCCACTACGCCACAACAGGGCGCTGAAGAAAAAACTGGATTACTAATACTTAAAGAGCGTGAGTGATTGAGCCCGTGAGTATTGTGCAGGACGCGTAAAATGCCTTATATGCAAGTTAATGCAACATGTTTGCATATGATTGATACTCCTGTGCATTTTACGAATTCCTAATTAATGGTAGCTATTTGTAACTTGTGTAGTTGTAAATTTTTGTATGCTATCAATACAATATGTTATTCGATAATCCGTGTACCTTCAATTCAATTCAGTTATTCCGTTTTAAAAATAAATCAGAAAACAAATTTTCCATTCGTTTATTGTTATTATCCTTTTCTAATTCAACTTGGAAAATCAAATCCTTTTAATCCGCTGTACAATCCGTGTACCCTTCATCATTAGGAATTCTCTTTCAAAACAACAATCAGAAAATCAATTTACGTGGTTGTTTTATTGTATTTCCATTTTCAAAATTAAATTGGAAAATCAAAACATTCTTAAATGAAATATTCAACCCACAATTCTTTGCTATGAAGTGGATACAAACACTACTAAAACAACTTCCATTAATTTTGGTTTGATATGCTACCGGAAATGATGAGTGGTGTTGAGACGGAAACACACTTCAAGCTGCACTCAACTCAAATCATCTACTCGACAAACTAGCGCTGTTGTCTGAGCTCGCCCACAGGCCGGACTCCAGCGGGCAAATTGCTTACAGCACCTGGTATTCCCAGTGCGGTCTCCCATCCAAGTACTATGGGTAAAACTTTTGTGGGCGCTGCTCTTAAACAGAGTGAGCCGGCTTTCTCCATTCATTTGGATTACATAACGCACTAGGTAAGGTCTCCTCTGATAAACAACAATGTTTTTGTGAGGTCGTTCTTTAGGGTTTCACTCCATAAATCTATCATATTGTGCGTAGATCGTTCACACACGTCTTGGTCGTTTTAAATCTCGAGTGTGTAGTGCGATGTTTATGATTGTTACAATCCGTGTCTTATGTTATTTGCTGCTGCTGGTAGATCTCTTGTTTGGATCAATATTGTAAAGAAACCACTTTCTCTGCGATGTACAACAATCTGTTTTCACTGTATTCTACTGTATACAGTATTTTCTGTTTGTTTACGTTCTGGTCTTGTAGTAGTTGTTCCAGCGTAGCTACATTTATTATTAGTAATTATTGTTGATGTGTGTATATCTAAATGGATTTCACATTCTATAGTTCTGAAACCAACATTGAGGTGAAAATGAATTATATGCAGTTAGTTTTACGACAATGTATTCTTGTGTTTTTACCAGTTCTTATTTTCCTTCTATTAACTGTACTTACTGTATCCAGGCCTCTGCATGCTAGATGTCCTGATGTAAACATACAACTGTATATGTCTTCTCTAGATTATACAGGATTCATGCCTTCTTTATATGCTAAAGGTAATTATTTTATTCTGTTATTAAGCTAAAGTTATACATTAAACATACTATCTCTATCATGTATAGCTTAGATATTTTATGATCTTTTTTTGTTGTTGCAGACCAATTGGAATCAATCATTCAATAAGTTTATTTGTATTAGAGCGCCTTTCTTGCACAGGGCAACCACAAAAGCGTTCACGATCCACATCACAAATCCATCACATATAACAACAACACCAGAATCACAATTAAAACATTTAAATCACACAAAAGGATTAAAAACAATAAAAACAATAAAATCACACAAAAGAATAAAACCATTAACCACTTTCAAAGTCTACACAAGAAATTTTAAAAAAATAAATAAATAAATGACAGCAGTGCTTTACAAAGGGAGATAAAATCCTTCAGTTTGTATGCACAGGCTAATCCAGTACAGTCTTTAACCTGGATTTGAACATTGACAGAGTAGTCGCCTCCCTCACATTTTCAGGAGATTGTTCCAGATCTTAGCTTGCATAGATCTGAAGCAGCCTCCCCATGTTTGGTTCTACTCTGGGCACCAGCAGGAGGCCAGTCCTCGTGCTCCTCAGAGTCCGGGCTGGTTCATATGACTACTAACATGTCACTAATGTATTCTGGTGCAAGGCCATGGAGTGAGACTTGTACACAATCAAGAGCTGTTTTAATATCTATTCTGGAGCACAGGAAGCATGTGCAGAGACCTGAGGACCGGACTAATATTGTATTACCTTCCTGGTTCTGTCAGGACTCTTAGCTGCTGCATTTTGGATGTACTGCAGCCTGCTTCAGGGTCTGTTTGGACAGACCTGTAAGCAGGCCAATGCAGTAGTCTAGCCTGCTGGAGGACAAATGCGTGCGACATGGAATCTCCAGTCTGCCCTCGGGACTCTATATTTTGACTTTGGGCAATGTTCTTACAGATGGTAAAAAGCTGTTGATGTTATTGATTTTATGTGGCTATTGAAATTTAGGTCTGAGGCCTGTATAACCCCCAAATTTCTGACCTGTCTGAAGGAAGTAGGGAGAGAGACAGGAAGGGACAGATGACGCCCTTCTTTGTTTTCTGGGGACCAAAGACAATGATTTTCGGGTTTGACTGCATTTTGTGGAGGGAAATTATTTTGCATCCACTCAATGATCTGTTGGTACAGTGAAGGAGCAAATCAGTGGTCCTTGTTCTCCTGCAGTCAGTGAGACATGATCTGAGTGTCGTCGGAGTAATTGTGGTAGGACACTTTGTTCCTTTGTATAAACATGACTAAGGCAGCAATGTAGAGATGTTAATAGGAGAGGTCCAGGATCGAACACCTGTGGTTCTCACAGGTCTGGGCCACTTGATCTGAGACGCAGTCTCCATTTCCACAATGTACTTCCTATCCTCCACGTACGACCTAAACCAGTCTAGGGCTGTGCCTGTTCGACACCAACCCTTTCTGAAAATGACGAGCCGATGACGTCACCTGCACTCAGTGTGCACTGTCCCAATTCTGCCTTTTTTGCACACTTGTAACCTGCGCACTCCAACCCTGGTGTGCACTTCGAACAAATGCACACTTCGTAGAGGTGTGTAGGGTGCAGTGTGGGTATTGGGACTGGGCCAATATCACCATGTACGCAGGTGATATCACACACACACACACTCCGAATGAGACTCAAAAACACTGAAAGCTTCCACCTGATGTGTCCACATAAACACCTTCAGGTAATGCGTCAGTACAAGCCACCATGTAGGCAGGTGATATCACACACACACGGATTGACGTTAGCAAACTATCATAAACAATCTCAATACTACAAACTCACCTCTACAGAACTGCAATGGGGCTCAAATTCCAGACTCTGCTCACTCTGGCTCACAGATATGGAAGAGTGCCCACTCTCCAAGCACTAAAATACAGGACAATTGGGAGAGAAACCAATGTAGACCAGAACAATCAGGAGAAAATGCACTGAACTAGTAGAACTAAGAATGAAATCTAAGACTCACTGAACAGTTTTCATTCCCAGTGTAGCCCTTGTAGGGTGTTTGGGTCACTGGGACCATTTTTAATCAACACTGAAGACTAGTGCCACAGACCCAAAAGCCCTACAAGGTTTAAGATGACCAAGCAATTCATTCGACACTCAGATTTACCTGCTCAGCATCACCAGCATCTCTGGGGAGTATTTCCGAGGCAGGTTGCTGTGAGGAGACAGGAAGTATAAACATCAGAGGAAGCGTGACTTTCTGACCAATACATACATTGGGCTACTGTGTCAGTACAAACCACCATGTACGCAGGTGATATCACACACACACACACTCCGAATGAGACTCAAAAAGACTGAAAGCTTCCACCTGATGTGTCCACATAAACACCTTCAGGTAATGCGTCAGTACAAGCCACCATGTACGCAGGTGATATCACTCACACACGGATTGATTTTAGAATGAACTATGAGACTCACTGAACACCATCAGGAAATGTGTCTGTTCAAACCACCATGTATGCAGGTTATATGACAGACACACACACATGGATTGACCTTAGCAAACTATCATAAACAATCTCAATACTACAAACTCACCTCTACAGAACTGCAATGGGGCTCAAATTCCAGACTCTGCTCACTCTGGCTCACAGATATGGAAGAGTGCCCTCTCCCCAAGCACTAAAATACAGGACAGTTGGGAAAAAAAAAAAAAATGTATACCAGAACAGTCAGGAGAAAATGCACTGAACTAGTAGAACTAAGAATGAAATCTGAGACTCACTGAACAGTTTTCATTCCCAGTGTAGCCCTTGTAGGGTGTTTGGGTCACTGGGACCATTTTTATCAACACTGAAGACTAGTGCCACAGACCCAAAAGCCCTACAAGGTTTAAGATGACCAAGCAATTCATTCAACACTCAGACTTACCTGCTCAGCATCACCAGCATCTCTGGGGAGTATTTCCGAGGCAGGTTGCTGTGAGGAGACAGGAAGTAAAAAGAGGAAGCGTGACTTTCAGACCAATACATACATTGGGCTACTGTGTCAGTACAAACCACCATGTACGCAGGTGATATCACACACACACACACTGATTGATGTTAGAATGAACTATGAGACTCACTGATCACCTTCAGGAAATGTGTCTCTACAAACCACCATGTACGCAGGTGATATCACACACACACACACACACGCACTGATTGATGTTAGAATGAACTATGAGACTCACTGAACACCTTCAGGAAATGTGTCTGTTCAAACCACCATGTATGCAGGTGATATGACACACACACACACACACACGAGGGATGTAAAAAACTATGCATTTTCATGACCGACCACCGAGCCTCATTAACCGGTTGAAACCGGTTAACCGCGTAGTTTAAAATATTCAACGTTCTTTGAAATAGCAGCCATTTCGAGCCGCGTACTTTTCATAAGTTTATCTATGCGTTCTACTAGATCAGAGCTGAGACAGCGGCGCCAAAACCCGCAACAGCTTCGGAACCTTTGCGCACAGAGAACTGCTTTTTTAATCTTCCCATACTGTGCTGCAGGTTAAAGCATTTTTAAGCAAAAGACGGCTTGTTCACATGGTCAGAGCAGCGAGTTACACCCCGCGTCTCGCAGGTCTCCGCTAAAGTTTAAAAGTGATGTGTGTGGATCTGATCTAATGACAAGGACCAGCAGCACAAACATGTTTCATGAGTTTGACTGGGGCCGCGTATTTGCGAGGATTCTTTGGGCTGCGAGACACAGAGGTGCGCGACAGACCGGTATGTGTGTGTGTACTAGGGATGTAAAAAGCTATGCATTTTCATGACCGACCACCGAGCCTCATTAACCGGTTGAAACCGGTTAACCGCGTAGTTTAAAATATTCCACGTTCTTTGAAATAACAGCCATTTCGAGCCGCGTACTTTTCATAAGTTTATCTATGCGTTCTACTAGATCAGAGCTGAGACAGCGGCGCCAAAACCCGCAACAGCTTCGGCACCTTTGCGCACAGAGAACTGCTTTTTTAATCTTCCCATTCTGCTGAGCTGCGGGTTAACCCTTTAGGCGCCAGAGTTTTGACGGCTTGTTCACATGGTCGGAGCAGCGAGTTACACGCCGCGTCTCGCAGGTCTCCGCTAAAGTTTAAAAGTGATGTGTGTGGATCTGATCTAATGACAAGGACCAGCAGCACAAACATGTTTCATGTGTTTGGGGCCGCGTATTTGCGAGGATTATTTGGGCTGCGAGACACAGAGGTGCGCGACAGCCCGGTATGTGTGTGTGTACAATACATGTATGTGTGTGTGTGTAAATATAAGCTCCAATGTAGTTCTGACCTGCACTAGTGTGGAACTTTGGCGGTAACAGAGGGGAGAGATGATGCGTGTGGATGTTACGTATGGAGGGGGGGAAAGTGTTTGTGCGTGTATGTGTGAGTGTGTGTGAGTGTGTGTGTGTGTGTGCGCGTGTGTGCGTGGCTGCGTGCATATGTGGAGCGTGCGCCAAGAAAGTCGCCCGTAGTCTACTAATGCATTGGCGCACACAGCTAGATACGGACCCGCTCGTCACATCGTACAAATAGGGCTTAAATAGCCTTATTAAGAGACCTCCCCTCTCCGCTTTTTCTTATTTTTAACCGACAGCTTTGACCGGTTAACGCTGTGACGGTCAACCACCGGTTAAACGGTCACCGATTTACATCCCTAGTGTGTACAATACATGTATACATGTATGTGTGTGTAAATATAAGCTCCAATGTAGTTCTGACCTGCACTAGTGTGGAACTTTGGCGGTAACAGAGGGGAGATATGATGCGTGTGGATGTTACGTATGGAGGGGGGGAAAGTGTTTGTGTGTTTGTGTGTGTGTGTGTGTGCGCGCGCGTGCGTGTGTGCGCGTGCGTGTGTGCGCGTGCGTGTGCGTGGCTGCGTGCATTTGTGGAGCGTGCGCCATGAAAGTCGCCCGTAGTCTACTAATGCATTGGCGCACAAAGCTAGATACGGACCCGCTCGTCACATCGTACAAATAGGGCTTATTAATAGCCTTATTAAGAGATTTCCCCTCTCCGCTTTTTCTTATTTTTAACCGACAGCTTTGACCGGTTAACGCTGTGACGGTCAACCACCGGTTAAACGGTCACCGATTTACATCCCTAATTCAGTGAGTTATCAGCACTCACTTCACTGCGCCTGACAACTCCAAGATGGCGGCCCACGGGCGCCTGACAACTCCAAGATGGCGGCCCCGCCGCTCGGCAGTAGCAGTTGATGCGGGGTCTATACTCTTGTATATGTCTTTAGTCAACAAGCGTTGCTAATAAATAATTAAAAATAAAATAAAGCAATGACACACCTCCTTGAACACATACAGCTGTTATATGAAGTCTCTGTAATGTCTCGGGAGACAGAGAGTCTGCCGAGATGCGTTTGTGGACACAAAAAGCCACTAGCTTCATAGCGTTAGCATCATGGCGATGCTAACGGGGCTAAGCTAGCGGCGCTAGCCACTTCTGCTGTGTTTTGGGGCATCGATGGGCAAGACTTTTGATTTACTAAACTCACAGCGCTGAAATTTAGCGAATGCTTGTCCAGTGCGAGCGGATGCAGTCTATAGTGTAGATGTACCATTACATTACCACTACCATTACCATGTACATTACAAGAACGTGCCCAACCATGTCAGTTACCACTAAATACAAACCACATTGGGGGCTAGACTTTACATTTTCATGCAAAATATAGTAAACACAAAGTAAAACATGTTAGGATAATGCTCACCTGTCGATTTAGCACCAAGTTGTAGATCCCGCATCTTCCCACCACGACTTCGCGGGAAAATTGTTAAGCCTAGCCTCTTCCGGTTGTGTGTATTTTTGTGTGTGTGTGTGGGATGACGTTACGTCATCTGACCACTAGGAGCGCATACACACACACAAAAAGTCAGGTGAGGGGAATATACTGACAGTCTAAAAACTCAGGTAAATAGTATGTTTAGAAAATAAATAATGCATGTATATTATGCCAGAGGTATAGTAAAGTCATATTTTTTTCATATCAGGTAAAAAAAATGAGTTTCAGACTGGAAAAACTAAAAAAGCAACTCTTGAATTAGACTGACACAGGCCGTGTCAGTCTAATACAAAAAGTCCACTTAGCCCAGGTGAGATTTCAGGGTATTTGTCAGTGTATACCACTTAGACCAACACAAACACACACACACACACACACACACACACACACACACACACACACACACACACACAGCTTCCAAAGTGGTTTCAAACTTCTCCACTCCGTCTGCATAAAGTGCAGTTTTCAGAATCCAGATAGACCTGTGTCATGTGGATGATGATCATGAAGTAGCTTTGACGATGTGTTGAATGCACACAGATCTCCTCGATGTCATACCTGCATTGGGGGAAATGTTGTGTCCAGTGCTTGAATATTGAGTGTGTTTGATATGGTTTGTGTTTGCCACTCACCTTTAAACTGAGCCGGCCCCTCTCTCTCCTCCTGCTGCACACTGGGTGGCAGGGGCACTCTGCTTGGGGCGAGAGCCAGCCCTGGTGCTGTAGGGTCCTGTGTGGACACTCCAGTGTGGGGTAGTCCTGTGTCCTCCTGGAGCTCCTTCTCATGCTCTGTCTCTGCTGCGTCAACATCTGCAAAAGGGAGCACCAATAATAATTAGACAAAAATATATATATATTTGAAATCTTTTCATCTGGATTCAGCGCTCATCATAGCACGGTAACACTTTATAATACTGTTTGACTTACTACTAAGTAATGAAACATGTCTTATTTATATTAACAAATAATCATTCATCCATCCATTTTCTTCCGCTTTATCCGTTGCCGGGTCGCGGGGGCAGAGACGCCCAGACTTCCCTATCCACACACACTTCCTCCAGCTAGTCCGGGGGGACCCCAAGGCGTTCCCAGGCCAGCTGAGAGACATAGTCTCTCCAGCGTGTCCTGGGTCTTCCCCGGGGCCTCCTCCCGGTGGGACGGGCCCGGAACACCTCCCCAGGAAGGCGTCCAGGAGGCATCCTGAACAGATGCCCGAGCCACCTCAACTGGTTCCTCTCGACGTGGAGAAGCAGCGGCTCTACTCCGAGCTCCTCCCGTGTGACCGAGCTCCTCACCCTATCTCTAAGGGAGCGCCCAGCCACTCTGCGGAGGAAGCTCATTTCGACCGCTTGTATCCGCGATCTCGTTCTTTCGGTCATTACCCACAACTCATGACCATAGGTGAGGGAGGGAACGAAGATTGACCGGTAAATCGAGAGCTTCGCCTTTCGGCTCAGCTCCCTCTTTATCACAACGGTCCGATACAGAGACCGCATCACTGCGCACGCTGCACCGATCCGCCTGTCAATCTCACGCTCCATCCTTCGCTCACTCGTGAAAAAGACCCCGAGATACTTGAACTCCTCCACTTGAGGAAGGACCTCTCCACCCACCTGGAGAGGGCAAGGCACCTTTTTCCGGTCGAGCACCATGGCCTCGGATTTGGAGGTGCTGATTCTCATCCCAGCCGCTTCACACTCGGCTGCAAACCGTCCCAGTGCATGCTGCAGGTCCTGGTTCGTTGGAGCCAACAGGACGACATCATCCGCAAAAAGTAGAGATGAAATCCTGTGGTCCCCAAACCGGACCCCCTCCGGCCCCTGGCTGCGCCTAGAAATTCTGTCCATAAATACAGTGAACAGAACCGGTGACAAAGGGCAGCCTTGGCGGAGGCCAACATGCACCGGGAACAGGTCTGACTTACTGCCGGCAATGCGAACACAGCTCTGACTCCGGTCATACAGGGACCGGACGGCCCTCAGCGGAGGACCCCGGGACCCCGTACTCCCGGAGGACCCCCCAAAGGACACCCCGGGGAACACGGTCGAATGCCTTCTCCAAATCCACAAAGCACATGTGGACAGGTTGGGCGAACTCCCATGAACCCTCGAGTATCCGATGGAGAGTATAGAGCTGGTCCAGTGTTCCGCGACCGGGACGAAAACCACACTGCTCCTCCTGAATCCGAGATTTGACCATCGGACGTACCCTCCTCTCCAGTACCCTGGAGTAGACCTTACCGGGGAGGCTGAGGAGTGTGATCCCACGATAATTGGAACACACCCTCCGGTCCCCCTTCTTGTAGAGAGGGACCACCACCCCGGTCTGCCACTCCATTGGCACCGCCCCCGATCGCCACGCGATGTTGCAGAGACGTGTCAGCCAAGACAGTCCCACAACATCCAGAGACTTTAGATAATCAGGACGGATCTCATCCACTTCCGGCGCCTTGCCACCATGGAGGCTGCCAACCACCTTGGTGACCTCGGCCAGGGAGATGGAAGTATCTGCCCCAACATCCTCAGCCTCTGCCTCCTGGACGGAGGACGTGACGGGGGGATTGAGGAGAACCTCGAAGTATTCCTTCCACCGCCCGACAATATCCCCAGTCGAGGTCAGCAGCCCTCCACCCGCACCATACACGGTGTTGGCAAAGAACTGCTTCCCCCTCCTGAGGCGCCGGACGGTTTGCCAGAACCTCTTCGAGGCCGACCGATAGTCATGCTCCATGGACTCTCCGAACTCCTCCCAGTCCCGGGTTTTTGCCTCTGCAACAGCCCGGGCCGCGGCACGCTTGGCCTGCCGGTACTGGACAGCTGCCTCAGGAGTCCCACGAACCATCATTGCTCGATAGGACTCCTTCTTCAGCCTGACGGCATCCCTTACTACCGGTGTCCACCACCGGGTTCGGGGATTGCCGCCGGGACCAGCACCAGAGACCTTGCGACCACAGTTACGAGCCGCCGCATTGGCGATAGAGGAAGAGAACATGGTCCACTCGGACTCGATGTCCCCCTCCTCTACCGGGACCTGGGAGAAGCTCTCCCGGAGGTGTGAGTTGAAAGTCCGTCTGACAGGGGGCTCAGCGAGACGTTCCCAGCAAACCCTCACTACACGCTTGGGCCTGCCAGGTCTGACCGGCCTCCTTGCTTGCCAGCGGATCCAACTCACGACCAGGTGATGATCGGTTGACAGCTCCGCCCCTCTCTTCACGCGAGTGTCCGAGACACGCGGTCAAAGGTCAGATGATACGACAACAAATTCGATCATCGACCTCCGGCCTAGGGTGTCCTGGTGCCACGTGCACTGGTGGACACCCTTGTGCTCGAACATGGTGTTCGTGATGGACAGGCCGTGACTGGCACAGAAGTCCAACAACTGAACACCGCTCGGGTTCAGATCAGGGGGGCCGTTCTTCCCGATCACCCCTCTCCAAGTGTCACTGGCATTTCCCACATGGGCGTTGAAGTCCCCCAGGAGAATAACGGAGTCCCCGGGCGGTGCAATGTCCAGTACCCCTCCCAAGGACTCCAAGAAGGCCGGGTACTCTGCACTACCGTTAGGCCCGTAGGCCGTCACAACAGTGAGAGACTTGTCCCCCACCCGGAGGCGGAGGGACGCGACCCTCTCATTCACCGGGGAGAACTCCAACACGTGGCGGCTGAGATGGGGGGCAATGAGTATGGCCACCCCAGCTCGCCGCCTCTCCCCGCGGGAAACACCAGAAAAGTAGAGCGTCCAACCCCTCTCAAGGAGTTGGGTTCCAGAGCCCAAGCTGTGTGTGGAGGTGAGGCCGACTATCTCTAGTCGGTATCGCTCAACCTCCCCCACAAGCTCGGGCGCCTTCCCCCCCAGTGAGGTGATGTTCCACGTCCCAAGAGCCAGATGTTGGGTGTGTCGACTGGGTCGTCGAGGTCACCGCCTTCGACTGCTACCCAGTCCTCGCTGCACCTCGCCACCACGGACCCCTCTGCAGGTGGTGGGCCCACAGGAGGGACTGCCCACGTCATCCCTTCGGGCTGAGCCCGGCCGGGCCCCGTGGGCTAAGGACCGGCCACCTCGCTTGCGAGCCCCGACCCCAGGCCTGGCTCCAGGGTGGGGCCCCGGCTGCGCCATGCCGGGCGACGTCACCGTTCTAATATAAGTGCATAATATAAAATAATCATGTAAACATTAACAACTCATTAACAAGTGATATTTGTGACTGTATAGGAAATCATTACTTACTAATGAACAAATAATCTAGTACTCATTAAGAGTTTATAATCATTCGTAAATGATTTACACATGATTTACTAATTGCTATTAGTTAATTATCAAATGTTGATTATTCACATGTAAACATTATCATAACCATGTGCTACTCATGACCTAATTAATTAAACTAATTTACAAATAATTATATAATAAATACCTAATTTAGAATATTGAAATTCGACTTCCGGGATGGTGAGGAGGCGAGCGGCAGCATTAGAGCCCTGCACGGGCCTATTATCTGGGCCCAAGCCCGGCCCTGGCCCGAGGGGGTGGCGCCCCAGCCCGGCCCGATATGGTTTCTGAATTTTCAGGCCCAAAACCCGCATCAAGCCCGACTGTTTTTTTTGTTTTTTTACCTCCCATAACAATGTTTTAGCGTAGTATATAGTGCCGCGCACTGATATGAACACAGGCTTGGACAGAGGGCGGAGGTATACATGGTAGTAATGTATTGCAGTGAGTTCTGTGTGTGCGGAGTGAACGGCCATAGCTGTATGATGCCCAGATGCCGCAACATACTTGTAAGTAACGCTATGTGTCGTCAATGACAACACTACACAGAACAACAAACACTACTGCGTGATAGAACGCTATATTCAGTGGGTGTATTCGTAGAATGTAATCTGCCGCTCTGAAAGTGCGCGAGCCCGAGCCCGGCCCGTGTCCGAGGTCATTATACATTCATCGGCCCGAAGCCCGGCCCTCGGGCTGTCGGGCTGTTGGGGCCCTCGGGCCAGGGGCTCAAGTGCAGGGCTCTAGGCAGCATAATTTCTTAGCTCCTCGACGGTCAGTTAACCCCCTGATTAAAAAAGTTGCTACAGACAAGTTAAAAGTTGTCATAAATATGTCAGGGGGTTCTAAAAAGAAGACTAGAGCAACTGTAGAAGAAACTGCGAAAGAAGGAGATTCTACAGCCGCAAAAATTGCTGAAGCTAATCCTGATGCTAGCAAGTTAGCCGAAAACGTGACTATGGATGCTATCTAAGCTAACATTTTGGCAGCGCTGAAGAACGTCCAGGATGACATCAAAAGAGAGTTTAATGATAAAATCGACACTCTTAAGACTGAGGTGAGCGGTTTTAGAGAGGAAATTGTCGGAAGACTGGAAGGGCTCAACGCAGACTTAAACGGCGTCACACAGAGAGTTGAGGAAGCCGAGCAGAGAGTGGCGGACATGGAGGAGTTCAGTGCTGATGTCAAAGACGCACTAGAGCACACGCTACAACTACAGCTCGAGCTACAAACAAGGCTGACTGACATCGAGTCCTGGGCACGCAGAAACAATATCAGAGTCCATAGAATTGTGGAGGAGGTAGAGGGAACAAGCATTCAAACATTTATGGAGACTTTTATTAAGACAGAACTCGCCCTCCCCGAAGTAAACCTATCCATTCAGCTATGTCACCGCTCACTCGGCCCCAAGCCCCCACAAGGCGCTAACCCCAGGTCCATAGTGATCTACTTCCAAGAGTTTAAGACGAAAGAGTTGGTGCTCCGCTCAGCGTGGCGTAAAGGTAATATTCAATTCAAAGGAAGACGTGTATACTTCGATCAAGATTACCCAAGTGATATTATCTTCAAACGCAAAGCATACAATCAAGTGAGAAGGGCACTTGCTTTCAAACTTTATACCCAGCTAAACTACGAGTGTTCTATGGTGGAGACGGGGACAGCGCCGTTTACAACAGCGCGTAGGACGCCACGGAGGACCTGAAAAGAAGAGGGCTTTTGTCAGGTGTTGCCGGAGCAGCTGTGGAGGAGATGGTCACGTCACCTGACGGAGCAAGAGGAGACGGGTTCACGCGAGTGACAAGGAAGAGGAGCAAAGAGGAGCTGACGCGCATCATCCAGGAGAAGCTGAAGGTGTTTAGACGAGACCAAACGAAGCGACTGGCACATTGACATTTAGGTGACCAACACAACAGATGTGTAATGTGAGTTCTACTAATGGCTGACAGACCGTCGGGGAAAACGCTTCCTCACATTGTGCTGTCACGGCGGACAAGCGTGGCGGCACTGAGAGGGCCCCCCTGCTTCCACAGGGGCCTCCCTCTCGTTACTAAAGGTGGACTTTTGCTTCACTTTTGGAGGTCACCTATGTTTAATGTTCATGTGTTTTTATGTTGTTTTTTGCAGACCTACTTTTGGTTATTAGAGCATCTTCTAAGATATATTTTATTTTTTGACAATGTTAGATAAGCAGACAGTCGTCACCCTCAATGTAAATGGTCTACATAATCCTATTAAAAGAAGCAAAGTGATTGCCAAAATGAAAAGAGGAAAATATTATATTATATTTTGGCAAGAAACACATCTCTCTGCGACAGAGCACGAAAAGATACGTACATTGGGCCTCATTCACGAACGGTTCTTAGGAACAGATTTGTACGTAAATCCTACTTACGCGGTTTTTACGAAGAAAGTGGCATTCACGAATATTTCTCGTAACCAGAATTTCTCTTGGGCAAGTACAAATCCTACGAGTCCTCAGGAGCACTCGTACGCATTCAGTGCCGACATGTTCACACGCCGGGGTTGTCCTCTTTGGTGAAGTTGAATAAAAATACAACATTCCAGTGATATGTCCGTCATATCGATGTATGTATTTATTTATTTGTAGTAATCTTTATTAGTAATCTTTATTTATATACCGCCTTTTTCACTGCAGATCTGGCCTACTTTTTAATTCATTTTGAAATGAAATGTGCCAACGCTTTATCAAATACATTGGAAATCTTGCCGTGTATTAGTGACCCCTTCCTATTTATAGGGGGCATTTCTTTATCCACGGGCCACAGAACAACGGCATATATACTGCTGCTGCAGGAGGTTATGGGTCCGCGCTGAGTCTCTGCGCTGGTCTCTCCTATGGATCTATACGGGTCTGCACTGGTCTCTCCCATGGATCTATACTGGTCTGCACTGGTCTCTCCCATGGATCTAGACGGGTCTGCACTGGTCTCTCCCATATACGGGTCTGCATTGGTCTCTCTCCATACGGGTCCGTGCTGCATGCTCCTGGATCCATACGGGTCCGCGCTGGTCTCTCAAGTCTGGTCTATGCGGTCTATCTTCGGTCCGCGCTGGTCTCTGCGCACCGGTCTCTCCAGTCAGGTCACTCCAGTCTATGCGGTCTCTCCTATAGGTCCGCGCTGGTTTCTGTGTGCTGGTCACTCCAGTCTCTCCTCGGGTCTGCATTGGTCTCAGCGCTGGTCCGCGCTGGATCTCCTCCCAGGGTCGAAAATATTTTGAGATTAATCTCAAAACATTTTGAGATTCATCTTTAAAATAATACATAATATATTTTTAAATTAAGCTCATAACATTTTGAAATTAATCTAATCATATTCTTAGATTAATCTCATAATTTTGCTAGTTCGACTTTATTATCATAATATTTCGACTTTTAAGTCAACATTTTATAACTTTATTCTCAGTCTGGTAAAAGAAGAAAAAAGGGTGACTCTTTTGCTCCGTGTAACGCTTTGCTTTAGGCCTGTTGCTGTTTCCTCAGCCGTCTGCACACGGCCCTGCATCCCCTTATATGGGCATTAGTGGCCGGTTACTTATGCTAAGTACCTATGCTAATGAAGCACCTGGCACGCGCGCTGTACTTACGAGGAAATGGGATTCATCAATCTGAGAGAACAGCTGCGAACAATTCAGCGGCTTACGAGTGCGTTGATGAATCCCACGTGGGGACTTCTTAGAAATCTACTTAAGGACAACTTGAGAAGAAAGTTGAGTAGTTTCTTACGAAGTTATTCGTGAATGAGGCCCATTGGGTTTAATAACATTTTCTACTCTACAGTTACTGAGGGAAACTCCAGAGGAGTTGCTATTCTAATACCAAATAGGGTCAAAGATGGACGTTATATATTATTGAAAGGTCACATAGACAATAAAGAAGTAACTTTGTTAAATGTATATAGACACAGGGATTAGGGTTAAGAAAATATTTAATCTTATTGCCACAGAAGCATCTGGTGGACAAATACCACCATCTTGGAGAAGAGCAGTAATATCTGTGATTCACAAACCAGGTAAAGATAAAACAGAATGTGGCTCTTATCGGCCAATATCTGTTTTAAACATCGATTATTGCATTTTTGCGACAATACTAGCTAAGAGGCTTGAGGTTTTAATTCCGGAATTGACAGACACTGATCAATGTGGCTTTGTTCGCAACTCATGACGTGCTCTTCACCTCATTCATAAAATGTAAAATTTTGAATCTGTTGCAGTAAGTCTTGATGCTGAAAAAGCATTTGATTCTGTTAGTTGGGAATATCTATATTTAACTCTGAACAGATTTGGTTTCAACACAAACATAATCAACTGTCTAAAATCATTATATGAATCACCCTCTGCCAGAATCAAGATTAATGGGGACATTTCTGACACTGTATATTTGAAAAGAGGTTGTCGTCAGGGTTGCCCGCTCAGCGCTAGCCTTTTCGCACTTTTTATTGAGCCATTGGCTCAAGCAATTAGAGAACATCAAGGTATTTCAGGTATAGCAATAGGAGAAACCACATACAAGATCTGTTTGTATGCAGATGACGTCCTCTTGACATTGACCAATCCAACAGACAGTTTACCCAATCTTCTGACACTTTTGCTTGAATTTGGATCATATTCTGGATATAAACTAAATTTACAGAAAACTCAAATTATTTCTTTTAATTATCAGCCAAAAAGGGACATATCTAAGTTGAAAAATTTTAATTTTAAAGGCAATAGCATTAAGTATCTAGGAATAATTATACCAAAGGATATATCGTTACTTGATGATGAAAATTATGGAAAACTCACAGCCAACATTAAATCTGATCTACAACGATGGGCACCAATACCAATGAACATGTACAGTAGGTCCCATTTCGTTTTGTCGCCTTTCACGCGTGAATAGCACGAGACTTACGTGTGAAACACGCGTCTTTTATTTTTTTTTCCCCCAGTGATGCTGCAATGACCCAAACAACCACCAGGTGGCACTTGTGAGCAGTGCCACCTTGAGCTTTATGACACCCAGTCATAAAGCTCAAGTCTTTGGCGCAGGAGGACCTGGGTTCGAGTACAAGTTAAAGACTTTAGATACAACTCCACAATCAGCACCAAGTTATGAAGATAAAATTATTCCACTTTTGTACTGGCTTTTTATCTTTGCAGGGTTAGGAACATTGTCGGAAAATCTTCTGCTTTTAACCTCTTAACTCCCACCTGAACCGAGCACGTCTTAAAAAAAAAAACTTAGTAATTAGGCCAACACATTTAAAATAGTTGCTAGACTGTAGTAAACTGTTGTAAACTTCACAATCTGCACCAACCAAACTGCAGGAAAAAAATGCAACTTTATTCAGTAACGGAGTAATCTGATTCATATACTCCCCCCCGCTAATAAAATTTGAGGATTGGCTGGGGCTCGAACCCCGATCATCCAAGCGAAAGTCTTGGACAATCCTGCTACGCAACACAGACGCTGGAGAAAACACTGGATCTAATAGGAGAGAGCGCTGAGTGAATGAGCCGTGCGTATGTGCGGGACGCTTAAAATGCCTTATATGCAAGTTAATGCAAATGTTTGCCATATGATCTGCTACTCCTGTGCATTTTAGAATTCCTAATTAACGGTAGCTATATGTAACATGTGTAGTTTAAATTTTTGTAATTATACACAGCCTATATATTGCTAATCAAAGTAAAAGTATTCAGAATACAGTGTACACTTGTGTTTGTTTTGTTCCAATGTTTCACGTTGTTCATTGTTTGAATTTAAATAAATGAAGCCCAGGCTATTTGACACAATGTGTACACCGCCTTTTTTTCCTTTTAAAGTCTAACATGCGATTCTCAGCCGACACTCATAGCCTACGTTACAGTAATTATGCTGTAGTTCGGCCGATACTGGGCCGGCATAATAAGTGAGAGTCACGTTGCTGTAGTTCGGGTATCGATGGCTGCTTTTGTTATGTCAATGGGACAAATGAATAGATGCCAATGGAAGCCATCAGAGTCGCCAGCTCTGACCTAAAGGTCATTTGACCCAGCTCCAGGGATTCTGGGGGGAGGGTGTGTGTGTAAAAATCCTACTACCCGTCAGCCTTTCTGTCTCTCTGCACATCAGCTCGTAAACTTAAATGTATTTCTCAGACACACACCCACGCGTTTAGCGGCAGAGGAGGGGGCAGCCACAGGCGCTTCTCCCCTCGCTCCTCTGATCAGAATGAGAGGAAAACTCCTGTTGAAAATCAAAGTCACCTGATGCGCACAGGCTCTTCTGTCTTTAGGACAGATAGATTTCAGATAGAAATTGCTACTAGAAAGGCGCTCTTAGACGCTGCTGTTGTAGCGAGGGCTGACGCAGCCTCATGCCGTTCCCGATCTCGGCGGAGTTTTTGAAGTGTACAGTAACTCTACCGAATACAATTACTCAAAATGAGTATTCTAACAATTTGAAAGTTATACCAGTTATACCACTTACTTTGAAATAGCATTCAGTAGCGACACTTTTAAACATAAAACACATTCTCACAATATTGCTAATACAAATTTATGATGGGGGGAAAACTTTCTTTCTCCGTGTTTTACAAAAATAATGGAGTTGGCTGATGAATGTCTACTTAGTTTGTGAACTGTATTGAACTAGATTGACCAGGGCTCGAGTCCACAGGAATGTCGAAAATCTAGTTCATCTTCACATATGCAAAACATCTGATCTCGTGATTGGGACGGGACCGGGAAAAAAACACGAGTTGCAATTTCTTTACTATCTGTCATAAAGTGAAAGGAGCCTGTGCGTCCTTTATTTAGGACAAGACATTTTTAATAGCCTATCACTCAGGCGAGCAAAAACCGAGCACGTTTTCTCCAGTGTTAAATAAAAAATACTTAGTAATTAG